AATGTACGATGAAAATGACATTATGAAAATTATTACCAATCTGAAATCATGTACCTCAATCTGTGTGTCATGAAATGGCACTAATATTATTCCTTAACTTGTTCATATAAGAGAGATGGAGAGAATGTGTCTGTCTACTAGATATCTGACCTCTCTGGGCTCTCACATCCCTGGAGGAAAGTAAGTCTTCCTCACCTGATAGCTGTCACCTGCTAACTGATCCTCAGATTGTACAGTGTCAGGAAAATCTCTCCATCCATGATTAGATTGTGTTTGGCTGATCCTATTCAGAAAATCTTCCTTTTGCCATCCTAATCTTATGGCTCATGCATGAAACTATGTAGTCATGTCTGGAAAATAATCTTTTTTGAACATTTAATTATGTATGTATGTATGTATGTATGTATGTATGTATGTATGTATGTATGTATGCATTTTTTACACTTCTGGTTTTATTCCCCTTCCTCGACACCCTCTGACTATTCCACATCTCATACCTCCTCCCTGCCCCCTGTCTCCATGAGGATGTCCCCACCCCTCACCCTCCACCTCACTATACCTCTAAACTCCCTGGAGCCTTTAATCTCTTGAGGGTTAAGTGCATCTTCTCTGACTGAACTCAGACCCAGCTATCCTCTGCTGTATATATGTTGGGGGCCTCATATCAGCTGGTGTATGCTGCCTGGTTGGTGGTCCAGTCTCTGAGAGATCTCAGGGGTCCAGATTAATTGAGAATGCTGGTCCTCCTACAGGGTCAACCTCCTCCTCAGCTTCTTCCAGCTTTTCCCTAATTCAACCACAGGGGTCAGCAGCTTCTGTCCATTGGTTGGGTGCAAATGTCTGCATCTGACTCTATCAGCTTCTTGCTGGGTGTTTTGCAGTGTGGTCATGATAGGTCCCTTTTTGTGATCCCGCCATAGCATCAGTGATAGTGTCATGCCTTGGGACCTCCCCTTGAATTGGATCTCACTTTGGGCCTGTTGCTGCACCTTCCTTTCCTCAGGCTCTTTTCCATTTCTATCCCTGCAGTTTTTTCAGACAGAAACAATTATGGGTCAGAGTTTTGACTGTGGGATGGCAACCCCCTCCCTCACCTGATTCCCTATCTTTCTACTGGAGGTGGGCTCTATAAGTTCCCTCTCCCTACTGTTCAGCATTTCATCTAAGGTCCCTCCCTTTGCGTCTCGAGAGTCTCTCACCTCTCAGGTCTCTGGTGAATTCTGAAGGGTCCCTCTAAACTCCTATGTCCCAAGAGGTTGCCCGTTTCCATTCTTTCTGCTGGCCCTAAGGGCTTCAGTTCTTTTCCCCAGCAAATACCAGATCAGGTTCTTTACTTTTCCCCACTCCAATAATCTTTTTATACTTTCCAAATATCTACTCGTGGCCATTATAACCTTTCCTTTCTATTTTGTCTTGCAAGTATCCCTGAGCTTTTTGTAGAGCAATGTCCAAGAGAGATCTTGTTTTGAGCAGAAGATATCAGTCCCTTTTTATTTGCACATTGACAATTTGTTGGTATCTGTATTAATCATCATCTACTGCAAAAAGAATCATCTATGATGAGAGCTTAAAGACGCACTAATTAATCTATGGATGGAAAATGAAGAACTTTGGGGTCAATTTTTAACTATGTCTATTTAAGAGAATAAGAGCACTAGTGTTCTACCCTATGGCTTATGAAATAGAAAGCCCTAGAAATTTGTCTCTGAAAATGGTACCAGCCAGAGAGTTCATGTAATCCAGCAGGCTTTTAATCTGATCAGATAATGGTTGGTTACTCTGACAATATCTGTGCCACAATTTTACCACTGGGCAAATTTCCTTTCAGGCCAATTGCTAATTTACAGTTCACAGACTCATGATGGGTAAGACTCATGATGATTCTTTTCTTCTAGTAGCATGTATAGAAACTTCTAGCATTATGAAAGTTAGCTAGTAGGATTGAAGCTTCTTGTTTGGCACTAGCTTGATTGCTCCATGTTCTATGAATAACGTTTTTGTTGTCTTTGACAAGAGTCTTGCCTTCAAGTTTTGGGGAGTAACCAAGAGCAATGGAACCAGATTGTCATGTTTCAGGGAGGGGGATTTCTATGGCATCTAATTGACCAAAACCCTGAAAAGAAGTAATTCATACCCATGATACCTACTGGTGTTTTATTTGATAGCCTATGTTGCATTCGGAAGGCATTTATTCTCACTATAGATAAATCCCATTTAAGGTTCTTTAATATATGTAACTTTAACGGAAGCTTCTACTATAGTAGGTATTCCTATGGTACTTTCAAAGCTCTTTAATGTTAGTTATCCTATGTTAGTTATCCTTTACCTTGTTTCCTCCTAGGTGTCCCCTCCTTCCATCTCTCACCTCATTTATCCCTTTGTATTCCACTCTTCTCCTTTCCAGTTCTCACCACATGCACCCTTAACCCTGGTCCTTGATGAGTGCATGTGTGTGTGTGTGTGACAGAGAGAGAGAGAGAGAGAGAGAGAGAGAGAGAGAGAGAGAGAGAGTGAGAAGGAGAGAGAGAGGGGGGGGAGAGAGAGAGAGACAGAGAGAAACAGAGAGACAGAGAGAGACAGAGAGAGACAGAGAGAGACAGAGACAGAGAGAGACAGAGACAGAGAGAGACAGAGAAGAAAGAAAGGAAGGAAGGAAGGAAGGAAGGAAGAAAGAAAGAAAGAAAGAAAGAAAGAAGGAAAGAAAGAGAGTTGTCAGGACAAGGGCACAGGGCCCTGTGTGGCCTCTAGATATCATTCCACCTGACTGTTCTGTAGCTCATGGCTGAAATGAGGAGGGAATGGCGAGTTTGGATCGATCTATTTCTAGGAAATCTCAGCTCCAGACTTTGTCTCACAGAGCACTCTGTTCTCTCATGTAGCACTCTGTCCTTGCTGGTTTAGCCTGTAAATTCCTGCCAGCTGTCTTGTCCTTCCTAACATCTGAATTCAACCTTCTCACTCAGGGGGAGTGCCTGAGTGGATTTGAATACTTCCTCCATGATCGGCATTCTGAAAACTAAGTCCAGTGAGTACAGAGTGTCCTGAGCCTCCTAATGAACAGTGTGTGAAGAACATTTTACCCCTATAGTCTTTTTAGTTTTGTTTTTAGCCATTTAAAATGCAAAGCAGATCTGACTATTATTTCCTTTTGGTACCATTTCATTTTTTAAAGTATTTTTAATGGGTTACTATTGACAACCTCATCAAAACTAAAATAAATAATTCTATGTATACCTATATTCACCTTTATATATCTGAATGCAATGAAGCTTTATCATAACAGAAGCTTTCCTCCCCCTATAGCTTTACAATATTTGTTCTTGGCTGTCGTACTTCCTAAGAACCATTGGTGGCCAGTAAATAATGTTACTATGCTGGTTTGTATCTTCTAGATTTTACATAAATGGGATCATAAATTTGATATTTTTTATTTTATTGGTTTAAATAAAAGTTATTATGTAAACATTCATTCATAATGCTTGTGGAAAATTCATTGTATTTCTTAGTCATAGTGTATTGTGTGCATCACCACTATTAATTTACTTTGTTTCCTATTGATAGAGTGCAGGTGATATATAGTTTTGTGTGGATAAAAAATAACCTGTTGTGTAGTTTTGTACAAAGACATGTGCTCGCATGTGTGTATGTGTGTGTGTGTGTCTGTGTGTGTGTGTGTGTGAGAGAGAGAGAGGGGGGGAGGGAGGGAGGAGGGAGGGAGAGAGAGAATCCACCTTTGCTTCCAGAACCTCAGTGAACAGGATAGTGCTCAGACACTTTGGGTGAGTGTGGAATTTCCTTTCTCTCTTCACTGATTCCAAAGCTACTTCATCTGGAAGGAGTCTCACACCTGGCCACAAATGATGCCTTACCAGCTGTCTGAGTATCCCATAATCTGTTGTAGTTTACAATAAGTTAACAATTACACTGATACATTTGAGAAGTATGAGAATAAAAGATTGACTGATTTTCAGGGGGAAGAACAGTTTAGTCCTCTTTCTCAGATTATTTCTTCTTTTTGTCTCTTTAGTTGTATGATTGTGAATTATACCAGAGCAAAATGCTTAAACTCAGGCATAGGCAAAGTCTTTTACACATAGACACTAGACACTGCTGCAGAGCAGAGCAGAAGTTCAAGGCTTCATTCTTCTGCATACTTGGGAAGGACTGAAGCAGATTCTCCTCCTGCTTTGGAGCTGCACTGGGAAACTTGGATAAAGCAGTTTGGTTTTAGACTGGAGCATGAAGATGACTCCATGGGGCATTGTGCTCCTTCCTCTTGTGTTGATTTACAAGTAAACAGATTTGGACTCTTTCCTAAGCTTGCTCTTGGGAGGGTTTTGTAGTAATTCCATTGTATTTTATGATGTTAATTCAGAACTGGAGGTTTAGTCTTTTTTTTTTCTTTTCTCTTTTGGTTATGTTGGCCACTAGCATATTTTCATGCATCTGCCGCTAGGGATAGGTGTTCAGCAATAATCTTGGGAAGTTTTCCTTGAAGATTAGTTCATGATTGACACTACTGGAGATTTTAAAACTGATACCCAGGGTAATGAGTTCCAGAAATGGCAATAGGGTACAGATAGAGGACTGACAGAGGAGGCAATGTCTTGTAAGCTTGTGAATAGGCATGTAAAATGTTCATGGTACATGCTACTTTAAGATGCTGTCATTGACTGGATTTCCCAAAGTCCCTACATTCCCACTTTAGAGTTATTTTGAGGCAGCAAAGACTATATTGTGGCTATAGAACAAGTTAAATATCAGCTCTCCGCCCATTTTTCTTCTAATTCTAGTTAAGGAGGGTGAAACAGTGTCCACTGGAAAGAGATTGGCAGAGACAAGGGCAAAAGGGCATTTGGAAAAACAGCATAAAATATCTACCCCCTTTACCCTATTTCAAGGCCACAGACAGTGCTTTGCGACAGAGGCTTACAGGGTCCCTTAGTGGGACACAGTTCTCTAGTTGTTCAGGCTGTGCCTGAGGTCCAGGTGTTCTACAGATGGCGGTACATCGGAGTTGGCTTCTAGTGAGCTTCTTCCTCCTTGAGTTTCTCCTCTTGGAGGCTGCAAAAATCCTGACTATATCTACACTGGGTAAGTTCTTGCTGGGAATATAGATAGAGTCTTCTGATACTGTGATGCCTGGGTTACCATGTTTCATAAAAATGGCATATAGTTGATCATGCATGTGACTTTTCTATCTAGGCATTGACAAACCTGGGGAGGGGCTATGCAGTATGTGAAATGTGGTACTCAGAGGGGACTGTCCCCAAGGTTGAGAGCAATAGTAGATGGTGACATCATGTGATATAGAAACAGCAGCAGGAGGTGGAGTAGGGGGTTGTAAAAAAGGCTTCTCTAGTGAAGCTTTAGTTGTGAATAATTGGTAGGCATTTTAGTCAAAGGGATTAGCTTATTCATCCAACAAAGGGAACAGTGAACACTTCATGATTGTTCTGGATAGGCTAACATTCACAAACATTTTTGGTTTCAAAAGATGTTCTTCTCAGAAAGTATCTTAGCGTCAAAGTTTAGATGTCACCAGGACATCATCTTATTCCAGGAACTGATGTCTTATTTTTGACTCCACAAATGTCCTGTTCCCCTAATTTGGTCTGGATCTCATGATAATAGGAACTTCATGTACATGGTTCACTGATAAATGTCTGAGTCGGGTAGGAGAAATACGTATTAGTTCCAACAGGAAACAGGTTACATTAAACCTATATATAGACTTTGTGAAAATATTTCTCTTTAAATGGTCATTTTTTTGGATTTATTGTTGACTAGGCTGTGACTCAAGAATTAGAGTGAGAAAAATAACAAACACAATAGCATGACAAAGGTGATGAAGGTATTATCCCATTGTGCCAGGAAAGATTTTTATTAAATTAATCTTCAAGCTTCTGCAAAGGACCATAAATGCTTCATTTCTAACCTGTGATCATAATTCATGTATAATAGATATTATCTAAAAGGCGAATTATCTGGTGTTTTATCGCAAAGCTATTGACATTTGGATACAACAATGAATAACAACCTCCATTGGTCTGTCTTCACTATTTCTCCTATCTCAGCTACATGATACTTTTATGGAAAGCAAAAGTTTTCTTTTAACTGCTGAAGAAGTAATCATTATACAGGCCTGAGGTCAAGGATTTACCTGAGTCATAAGGCCTACAATTCTAGAACATTCTCAATGGCAGGGGCAGAACATTCAAAGGATTATCTTAAAATTCTAAGGAGTGAATATTAGGAGTATTTTCTACCAAGGTAAAACTGAGAATATGAGTGAATATCTTCAAGAGGGTTCTACATTCCCTGGTGTGTTTTACCCACATTCTGAACATTTTTCAAGATGGATAGGTCTAATAAATCTATATTTTATAGCTCATGTGGTAACTATTTTTTGTTTGTCTAGGGTAATAGAGTGCAAAAGGTTAAAAGTCTGCCTGTATAAAGGGGTGATTGTTTTCAGCTGTTCTCAAATGATAGCGTACCACCCTTAGAGCACTTTCAGGGGTGGAGCCTGAGGACCTCAGTGCTGAAGTGAAACAGACTATAGACATGGGCTTGAGCCTTCTACTCTGTTCATGTTTGCGGAAAACAAGGGTCAAGGGCATGGGCTGCCTCTTTCAGGAATACAACTCACCCTTCTAATGTTGCATAAAAAATTCTTATGGAGATTTTCATAGTGGTGGTTTGCACACTTATGTTAAATATTCTGACGCCACATTCATTTTCCATTTCCCCTTTCTCTTCCTCTCCCCAAACCTTTGCAAACACAGCTTCTTGTTCTCTTTCAGTACCAGCCCCTCATTTCTCACTAATTGTTGGCACATGTACACAAGGGCATGTATATAAATATATACATGTAACCTTCTCAGTCTGTATGTATGTTTTAACAATAACCATTTTGTATTGCTTAACCAGATAGTCTGCTCATCCCTCGGGAAGAATATTTCTTCTACTCTCAGCATTTCTTAGTTGGACTTTGTATGTGTGTGTCTGTGTGTGTATGTATGTGTCTGTCTGTCTGTCTGTCTGTCTGTCTGTTTCTCTTTTGATCTGTCTAGGGTTGAAAGCTCCTGGGATTTCCGACATCTACTTTAGCACGTCTCTGTTGCTGTCCTTGTTTGCCTCATGTTTAGGCAGTTTTGCTGGTAAGACTTCATGAGTTTAGCTTCTGACACTCCTAGGAGACACAATCCCTGAGCAAACTCCATGTTCCTCTGGCCTGTAATCACTCTGCCTCTCTTCTGCAATGATCCCTGAGCCTCAGGTGCAGAAGTTGCCTCATCCGGTTGCTTTTGCACAGGGTCTCTGAGGCAATGATGGTAAGGACCTCAGATTTTGATACTTCACTTTTTTTCTGTCCCCACTGGTTTGGTTTGTGCAGTTTGAAAGTTTCAGTGTTTCTCTGGAAGAGCTCTTGCTCATGAGCATCCATTAGGATGGCTGCATCACTGGGCCCTCCTTCTTCGCAGTCTAATGAGAGCAGGAGCAAGACACCTCAGGTGTGGTGGCTTCTATCTGTGCTGTTCAGACCACACAGATGGGAATGGAAGGAGTGATTCACTGAGAAGATACACGCTGTTTCCCTGACTTTTCTGTCCCGATATAATCACTATGGGTCTTACTTCTTCTGAACAGCCTATTCTCTCAGTTTTTTGTTTACAATTTCCATTTCTTTCTTTTTCTTAATTTATGTTTCTCCTCTTTAGTTCTGGACTCAAAACAAATGTTCTAAAAAAACTGTGGCTAAGGGGAAGACATTTGTTTAATGTTCCTTGTTTCTTTCCCAGGGATCCCATTTACTTAGCATTTCTGAGGGTTTTGTCTGAATGCATGTTAGTGTATTATGCACATTGTAAGTCTGTGGAGGCCAGAAGAAGGTGTTGGATCTCCTGGAACTAGAGTTTCAGATGGTTTTGAGCCATCATGTGACTACTAAGAACTGAAATGAAGTTCTCTGTGAGAACAGCAAGTACTCTTAACTGCTGAGCCATATCTCCAGGCATGACCTTCAGATCTTTGGTGAAAGATTGCTGTTTGGCCAAAGCTCTGGTGGGTTCATGTCTTGGGTATTACCTACAATGTAACTGAGGATATGGAAGAGCTGATTTCTTTCTAGGCATCCTGAGCCATTCTGTGCTTTTACACTTAGTTTGGATTTCTTCATGTCAGCTGTTTATGGTATTCAGAACCATTTTCCTTAATCTCCACAAAAATGAACTTTATGTATTGTTTCTAGGTGGAAGCCATTATATAGTGATGAGCCGAGTGTCACAAATTCTCCATGGCAGTGGCCACAATGTGACCAAACTTCTTCATGAAATGGTCCACATCCCAGGTATTTTTAAAATCAATTATTACAATAAATTACTTAAATAATAAATGATAGCTTATGTATACAACTGCTTGACAAAACTTCTGTATTTGGCCTTATGAGTGTTAAATTATGATGTGTGTGTGTGTGTGTGTGTGTGTTTGTGTATTTCATAGATCTGATTAGACTATGGAGACTTGGCCTTGTATAATATACTTCTGTATTTTACTTACTTTCTGGTATAGGTTGACTATAATTACAGCATGTACCCAAAATCTTAATGTGTTAGAATCAGGGTTTTTGGTGTAATGGTGTTGAATAATTATTGATCTATAAGAAATAGGCTTAGTATTCTGATTGGCCTAAGAAGGTAAACACTTAAATGGAATTACATCGTCTTCCTAGGGGTGGATTAGTTCTCAGCTGGGTAGGTGTTTATGAAAGAATTAACCTGCTCTTCCCTGGCCTCTTTCTTCTCTTTTGCCTTGTGAATTTTGTACCCACACATGGCACTTTGTGTTGTGATTCAGTGAAAGCCCATCAAAGGCTATTCAGGTGACTCTGCCCAATCTTGAATGATCAGTCTTTCGAAGTATGAACAAAGTAATTTTTTAGATTTTTAAAATTTTCAATTATGTACATTTGCATGTGATTGTATGTGAGTTTTTGCATGTGAGTGCTAGTGCCCAAGGAGGCCATAAGACGTGGTTGGATCACTTAGACCTGGAGCCACAGGCAGCAGTGTCCTGCCTGATGTGGGTGTTGGGAACTGAACATGACATCTCTGCAAGAGTAGTATATACTTTGAACTGTTGAGCCATCCCAATATAATTTTTTAAACTATAAATTAACTAATATTAGATATTTTGTTATAACAACAAAAATACATTTAATATTTCATTACTTGAGTGTCTCTCATCATCAACACTACCCACTATTTTTGATCATTTTGAGAGGCTCTTATGTCAAGTGTGTCTGAAAGTAGTGTTGAACAGATGTATCCTATCATATTTAGGACTCCATGTAAAGAAAGCTATGTTCGGTGACATATAAATCAGTTTCTATTTTTCAATGAGACCTACATTTTAAGAAATTTGTGCTTAACATTTAGAAAACAGGATTGAGATCACCTCAGACTCTTAAAAATCAGTAGCTCCCCTAAAACTCTGTACAGTGATGTCAGAAGTTCCTATTTAATTTAGTAAATAAAGAGAGTCATAACCGAACTGAAGATCATTAATCCCTGCTGATAGATTAAGGCTCAGAAGCTCAGAACACTTCACTTCCTTCTTCACTGGACATCTTCCAATACATTTAATTTGCCTTGACAGTCTGACTTCAGAGCTACAATTCATGCTCAGCCTGTTTTGCTTGTTTCCACAACTTTTGACATATTGCTCATGTCTATAGACTCTGCTCCTTTAATAAGCTATGAACAAAAAAATCTACCAAAATTCTCCACATTTGTGGACCTGGTGTCCTTCATTTTTACATTGAGTGTCACTGCCCTAAAGTATCTTGTCTTGCATTTCTTTTTCTCTTTTCTTTTCTTGCTCACCCCACCATGATCTCCTATTTGCTCTCATACTTATGTTCTTTTCTTTCATTTTTCTTTTAGTTTTCTTCATTTTTCTGAGGCAGGTCCGGGCTCTTATGGAGCTCAGCTACATTGCCATGGTAGTTCTCAAACTCAGGGGAATGCTCTGTCTTAGCTTCTCAACTTTAGGGATTAGAAGCGTGAGTCACCACACCCAACTCAGAGGTCCTTTCAACATCCATGAACTCTGGCCATTTCACATGCAATACTCGGTTATTCTTTTTTCTTAATTTTTTTTGTAGTAGAATTTGAGTGGATTTATGAATGTAAAAATAACATTATTAAGTTATTTTTCCAAACTTTAAATTGAGGGTTTGCATTAAACTGTTAGCTGTTTGAATCACTTTTATTCTTGATTATTCAACCTGAAAAACTACATGATACATACTGAAGGAGTAGAGGTTTCTAGGGTTTATACATAATTGCAAGTATTGGATTGGTACCAGGAAGGAGGGTTTAATGGTTTGAAGTTAGGGTCCTTTTCCTTCCTATAACAAGCACCCTTAGACTCATTGTAAACTCTCTTACTCATTTATTCATCTATTTATCTGATTTGACAAAGGGTCTCATGTATCCCCAATGGCCTCAAAATTGCTTTGCACTAAATAGTAACATTGGTTTTTTCTTGTCTTTATTCCTCCACTTCCTGAGTTCTGGGATTATAAGTGTATGCCAAAAGACAAGACTAAACAAAACAAACAAACAAACAAATGAAAAAACCTGTTTCTGTGTAGTTCTCAGCGTCAAATGTAGGACTTTGTATACACTAGGCAGGAATTTTAACGACTGAGTGCCTAGTGTACAACAATACCAACTGAGCAACATATCAGTATACCTGTGACCCTCACTTCTTATCAAGCATATGTCTCAAGTTTAATGGTGTTCTTATTTTGGTGAGACCAATCCAATAACATCATTGATCCTCAGTGATTTGATACAAATCAGGGCATGTTTGTATAAGTGCTCTGGGTTACTAGACAAACTTTATCCCTGCTTGCAGGCTGGTTCTTCATTGTAGTGGAGATTAGGTAAAACAAAAAAACAAAACAAAAAACTGAGATATAGAAATACGATTAAGTCCCTAATTCAGAGTTCATTATTCAGATTAGAATGCAGTCCTTTCCTTCTCTAGCAGCACTGTTCACTTTAGTCCAGAGAAACTAAATGTATAACAGTTTCATTCACTATGTAAGGTGAATTGATTCAATACTATTGGGTCAACAGAATTGAAATATGCTTTTATCCTTAAATATCAGAATTCTCACAGACAGACAGAAACGCACTCACCTGCACACGCACATGCATGCACACACACAGACAGAGAGGCAGAGAGAGAGAGAGAGAGAGAGAGAGAGAGAGAGAGAGAGAGAGAGAGAGAGGAGAGAGAGAATGTAAATTCCAATATGAAGTGTCTCCAGCCAACTGAAACTCTTCTGTGTTGAAAATATCAACAGTTGAATCAAGGATAAGGGCACAGGGCCATGTGTGCCCTCTGGGTATTCCACTTGACTGTTTCTGTAGCTCACTGCTGAAATGAGGAGGGAATGGCAAGTTTGAATCGATCTATTTCTAGGAAATCTCAGCTCCAGACTTTGTGTCACAGAGCATTCTGTTCTCTCATGAACCGCTCACTCTGTCCTTGCTGGTTTAGCCTGTAAATTCCTGCCAGCTGTCTTGTCCTTCCTAACATCTGAATTCAACTTTCTCACTCAGGGGGAATGCCTGAGTGGATTTGAATACTTCTTCCATGATCTGAATTCTGAAAACTAAGTCCAGTGAGTACAGAGTGTCCTTTGCCTCCTAATAAACAGTGTGTGAAGAACATTTTATCCAGATAATGTTTCTAGTTTGATTTTTTGTCATTTAAAATGCAAAGCAGATCTGTCTATTATTTCCTTTTGATCACATTTCATGTTGCAAAGTACTTTACTGGATTAATATTGACAAATTCATCATAACTAAAATAAATAAGTATACATATATGGATATCTATATTTAAATATCTGAACATTATGGAGTTTTATCAACACAGAAGATTTCTCCTCCCTAGCTCATTATAATGCTTTTTGTTGGCCATCTTACTTCTTAAGAGGCATTGGTTATCTATATATAATGTTACTATGTTAGTTTGTATATTCTGGACTTTACATAAATGGGATCATAAATTAGATATCCTCTTATTATATTGTTTTAAACAAAAGTATTTTGCAAACATTCATTCTTGTTTGTGAATAATTCATGGTGTTTCTTAGTCATATTCTATTGTGCACATGGTCACAGTTAACCTACTTAGTTTCCTTTGGACAGAGTTCAGGTTATGTATAGTTTTGTGTGGTTAAATAATAACATGTTGTATATGTTTTATACACACACACAGTTCCTCACACTTCTGTCTAAAAACGATTTTTCTCTAGGTTGGTAGCTAGGTGTGTAGTGCCTGAAGGTCTAGATATACAATTTCATCCACACGTATAATGTATTCTGGTCATACCACCGCATTTACTCTTCTCTCATTTCTTCCTCTCCTCTGTCTCCCTTCATCTTTGCTGTTCTCTCCCAAGCCCTTAGTGTGTGTGTGTGTGTGTGTGTGTGTGTGTGTGTGTGAGAGAGAGAGAGAGAGAGAGAGAGAGAGACAGACAGACAGACAGACAGACAGACACAGGTCACTTCATTTAACTAAGGTAACCACTTGGATGAACCTGGAAATAGAGCTTTAGAAAGCTCTAGGAAGCTTTAGGAAGCTCACTAGTGGTCAAACCCCTGATGATGATGACCATCTGCTCCCAGCATCCATGGACAGTCAGCAGTAGTTCTCCAGGAAAGTCAGAGTCACATGAATCATTCCTCATCTTGGCTGGAAGTCAGGTCCAGTGTAGGCAATCACAGTTGTAGTGATGTCGAGATTGAGGCAGCCGTGACATGTTCAGAAGATAGTGTTTTGTGACCCTTCTTCCCCCAATCCAGCCCTTATCTGAGTTTCATCCCTTCCTGTGCTATGTTCTCTGAGCCCTGGAGAGAGTGATGGAGATGCCCTTTTCAGGGCTGAGCACGTAACAGCCACTTGTCCTCAGCATATCGGGCAGACTTGGTTCATTTCATTTATTGCAGTTTGCTGCACAGAGAAATTCTCTAATGATGGTTAAGAGAAACACTTATAATTCCTGGGTATAAACATAACTATAAGGTAGTGTGAAAAACATATCCATTTAGTGAAATGAAAGTAGTCATTTCTTCCATACAGAATATGGCCTCCCTAGCCATGAACTTTTGAATGGTTTACAAACCTGGGTATTTTCCCCCCTGTACAACAGGCTTTAAGTCCAGTCAGAAAGTAGATTATTGCCTCCATAACACTGGGCACCTTTTCCCTGCAGGTCAATATTTTAACATGGAAGGCCTATCATTATGTAAAACCATTGATGACTTTTCTCCCTTGTAGCCTGTTTAGCATCTTCTGGCCAAAAGGGAGGAAGCTTCAAGTCAGTTCCAACTTGAGTTTTCTCTGCCTTATAACCAAAGTCTGTGGTGACCTGAGCTTTGTGACCTAGTTCTTCTAGGCACTCAAGAGCAATGGCTACAGCCTATGCTGTCTTGAAGGCTTCATAGGCCTCTGGATCAACAACTCATAGGAATGTTTCCCACACTAGCACTGGGGCTTTTTGTTTGATCACTCTTGACTTCTGAGGACAGTGTTATCTAAGTATACATGGCACCTCTATTTAAACAATTTAAAAGATTATTTTTATGTATGGTTTTGACAGTAAATTTGTTTACTGACTGTACATATGCGTGTATGCATGCTCATGTATGGTTTTCAAGGGACAACCTGCAGGAGTTTCCAGTATCTGAGTCCTAGGAATCAAACTCAGTCCATCAGACTTGGCTGCGAGTACCTTAATCTGCTGAGCCATCACACTGACCCTTTGAGAATTTCTTTCTTCCTTTAAAATTATCTTCTAAACTAATAGATTTGCCTATGTCCTGTATAATCTTTAGTTTTGTTTAGGAGTTCTCCATCTCTCTCCTAATCTTTTTGTCTTTTCTTTATTTACCTAGGTAATGGTGTGTGTCTTTTTAAGTTTCTAAGACCCAACCAACATCATCAAAAAGAATGGTCTCACACTCACGACAATTTTGAGAGGTCTTTTCCATGCAAGCTTTTAACAGCATTTTCAAAATCTGTAGACATGTAATCAATAGGGATAGAAAGGGAGTTATCCAGGATTCTGTGTGACTGATGTATGTGTTAAATGGGCATAAGTATCCAGTTGGATTCATTCACCTGTATATTGTGTTGTGTTGGGGATCCATCCTAACACTCAATTAAGGTCACTGCCTGGCAGATGCGCAGATAAGAGGTCTTTGTCCACTGAGGACTGTCAGCCACAGTTGGTGCTGGAGTCTACAATCATGACTGAGATACCAAGTTAGGGTGGGACTGTGTCCCATGAGATAGGAACAATGAGAGGAAGTTCCCAACACTGTAGTCTGTTTGTTTATTTATTTATTTATTTATTTATTTATTTATTTATTTATCTAGTTTTTTTGAGACAGGGTTTCTTTGTGTAGCCCTGGCTGTCCTGGAACTCACTGTGTAGACTAGGCTGGCCTCGAACTCAGAAATCGCCTGCCTCTGCTTCTCAAGTGCTGGGATTAAAGGCGTGCGCCATGACCGCCTGGCTTGTAGTCTGTCTTTAAATACAAATTATTAAACTCTCTAGTGAAGATCACTTGAGGCTGCTGTTTTTAGCCTACTTATCTTGGTTTGAAATTCTCATCAGTAGGAAGAGAGGATGAATTGAGGTTTTTTTTCCTGCAAAATGAGAGAAATAACTTGAAATTGTCAGAAATGAAACCTCAAAATGGACTCAGATTGTTCATTGTGCATGAGTAATAAGGGGAAGAGCAAGACTGGCCAGTTGGGATTGGCAGACTTTTTCCCTTCCTTCCTTCCTTCCTTCCTTCCTTCCTTCCTTCCTTCCTTCCTTCCTTCCT